CTCTCTGGGGTCCACTGACCAATGCCAAGCCTTTCAACATTTGCTTGACTACAAATCGTTGTGCAGTCAAACAAATTGTCTTCTTCTCTCCTCCTTTTCTTTCTTTTCCTTCGGCTTGATTCCGGAACGAGGTTTTTTGGCTTCCGTTGCGCTCAGATGAGATAAGCATCGGATGAGTCCAGCACCATATGAGTGTATTGCAGCGTGAGATAGAATAAGATCGGATTAGTTGTCGCTAGCGTTGTGGCTTGCTCTCTGGGGTCCACTGGGCAAGGCCAGGCCTCCGAACATTTCCTTGACTATAAAACGTTTTGCAATCAATCAAATTTTCTTTTCTACTCCTCCAATTCCTTCTTCTCTTTGTTTCCTTTCTGCGCTCGGATGAGGTATTGCCGGATGGGTCGAAGAGATAATTCCGGATGAGCCGAGCTCCACCAAATGAATTAGGTTGAGTGCCGAACCGGATGAATTTGGCGCCAGATGAATGGGGGCACCGGATGCGTGAAAGTAACAAATGGCGTATGGCACCAGATGAGTCTGGGCACCGGGTGAGTTAGGCACCGGATGAGTTAGGGCCCCAGATGAGTAAGTGCACCCGAGGAGTTAGGCACTGGATGAGCTAAGGCGCTAGATGGGTTAAGGCAACGAATGCACTGAATGAATTAATCACCAAGTTCGGACATCGGATGACTTTGTTACTTGATGAAATTATCACCGGATGAATTTGGCGCCAGATGAAAAGGGGGCACAGGATGCGTGAAAGCAGCAGATGAGTTAGGGCACCAGAGGACACCGGATGAATTAGGGCACGGGATGATTTAGGCACCTTTATGAGTTAGGGCACCGGATGCATCAGCCACCAGGTGAGTTAGCTACTGGATGAGTTTGCCCGGATGAATTAGCCACCAGATGAATGAGCCCAGATGAAGTAGGCATCGGGTGAATTAGAAACGACATCTGGTGGTCTCGTCGATGCCGTGATGATAATTGAAACGCGAACGCCATCTAGCCCCCCATCCGCAACGGAAGGAACACGCAAGGATCTGACCAACGACAGGAAGATTTGCTATCCACCTCATCCTTCTTTCGCACGTCAGCTGGCGCTGTCGCGCGTGTGCTGGATTGCTACGCGTGTGCGTGCTCAGTGCTGATTAGCTCGACCAAGAGGGTCAATTATCAAGAAGGGCCGGTCGAGGGCCATTATCCAACATTCTCCCTCTCCCCCCCTGGGCTTATTCCACGGTAGGCGGAGGGTGGCGGCGGAGTAGGATGTCAATTCCGCCGCCGCCCTCATCCTCCTTAGGCGCCTCCACCTGCGAGTCCTTCTTCTCCCACCCGCTCAGGCAGCAACTGCTCCCAAGGTGCTACGTCCAATGGCGACCCGAGGCGAATCCAGAGGAGCAGCGCTACAGCTCCACCTAGGGGGTCGGCCTTTCTTTCTTAGGCAAGCTGCAGGGCCGCGGGGACCCGAAGCGTCACAGGGGGTCGGCCTTCTCCCTCTTCCTCTCTCCTCCGCGTACCTGCTCCCTCCTTCCCTCCCCCCCTCTTCTCAATCCTTTCTCCTCCCTGTCGCACCACCAGGCGTCTGGTCCTTTTTCAAAACGGGGCTCTCGCCTTTGCGCCGCGCACGTTCGTTTTACAAGTTTGATGCAGCTAGGAGTACGACGGGCGGTTGCTTTTGAAAACGATGTTCCCGCCTGAGCGCCGCGCACATTCGTCTTACAAGCTAACAACTATTGCAATACCAAGAACCGCAGGTGCTATCCTTTCAAAGTGAGACTGTCGCCTTAGCACCGCGCCCTGTCATCGAACACGCTAGAAGCTACTAAACTAACGGAGAGCTGTTCCTTTTCAAGACGATGCTCCCGCCTTGGCGCCGCGCAAAGTCGTCTTACAAGCTTGCAACAGTAATCGTGGTGGAAGTTTTTTTGGTTTCTCAAAATGGGGCTCTTGCTTAAGCGCCGCGCAGAATGGTCTGAATGTTGCAGCATCTTCAAGGATGGAGGCCGGCTCCTTTTGAAAAGTGGGCACTCGTCTAATCACCGTGCGCATTCGCCTCAAACGTTTACAATAGTTACAAGGAAGGAGGGCGGTACGTTTTCACAATGGGGCACTGGCTCGAGACTTCCCAACCATTCAGCGGCCATGAGCCTGAACACATGTAGCACCTGCACGGATGTAGGGCGACCCGTTTTCAGAATTGGGTTCTCGCTCGTCACCTCCTCGAATTCGCGTCCAGAGCTGTAAACATGTGCAGCAATTGCACTGGTGGGGGGCGGCGCCCTTTTCAACACGGGACTCTGGCTGGACATACCGTTGAACTGTATGATCCGACCTGATCGCGGTCCTTCTATTCCACGCTCGAAGGGCGCAAGGCACTCCACATTCAAAGCGGGCACCTTGCCTGAATGGCAGGCTCATGGGGCGCTCGACTTTCAAGAGGGCGTTTCACGAACGGCTTGTAGGGACGTCTGGGGAGGGGACTCAGGGCGGCAGGGTGCACTACAACATCGCTGATGCATCTTGGGCTTACTCTGGTCCTCCTCCTCCTTCCCCTCTTGCATCCTCATCTTCTCTTCCTGCTGCTGTCTCTGCTCCTCCTCCTCCTCCCCCTCCTCCTCCTAGTGTCACTTCTCCTTCTGTCCCTCCCCCCTCCCGTCCTTGTCATCCGCAGGCCTCTGAAAGACCTCCCGGAGCTTTCGGACACCCGAACTTACTCGCACTGCGCAGGCGAATTACGCCAGAAACATGAGCTCGCCATCGCTCGAACGTCAATCCCCCGTACCCCGTACATTTGCAGATTTCGTGCGTTGTGTTTTTGCAAGATAATCCAAGATGCGCTTCGATGGTCCTCGCCGAGAACAAAAACACGTCCGCGCGATACCAAGTAAAGTGTCCGCGCGAATACTTGGGCCGGCGCTGGGCCCGTCTCTGGGCGCGCGGAGCGCGCCAGGGGCGGCGCTGCTGGCGGAAGTCCAGCGCAGACCTCAGAACTCCGCGCGGACCTGCAGAAGCTGATAAGCATGCAGCACGAGTCATCATCACCCCGCGGGCCACCAAATCGTCCATTGCGCCAGTGGGCCTGCCAGAGGTTGCTCCCAGCACCTCGCGGGCTACTCTAAAAGGTCTGCCATGTATTGCGCCGAAGGCTGCGCGGGGCACCCCGCGCGAAACCAGCTCGTCCGTTATCACAGAACGGCTGCCCCTTCGAAGAGTAGATTGAGAACCCTTGCATCGTTCGCTGGTCAGGGGAACATCGCGCTCGTCCCCGGTCAGGCATTTTCGCTTAGCATGTCACCACGACGGCGCCGGCGACACGAGATGTCTTGCGAGCGGATAGCATGTCGCTCCGCTCCGCGGGACGGGAGGCTCAGAAAGGCTCGGGACGTTGAAGCCTCGGGACTGGAAACTGGATAATTAGCGTGTCGTGCCGAAGCGTGGTGGGCCAGAACCGGCGGAGCGACACGCTAAGCCAAAGTTCCTGACCGCATCAAGAACCTTGGCGTCAGTGGAACATCGCGCTCGTCTACCTTCCACATGTTGCGGCAAACACCTCATTCGGGCCACTAGATCGACGCATATGCAGCTTGGGTCAGCCTTCCATCGCTCCCGCCTCAGGTTGCGACAGACACTCCGTCGGGCAGCCGAGTCGCGATGCCTACGATTTTCCTGAACCTTCTACAGTGTAGCGAACCCCGAAAGCATTCGCCAATCAGATAGTGGCAAACATGCCTGACGCCTGACTTCTCGACGCTCAGTCTTGCCTCCTCCTCCCACTCCTTTTTCGTGCTACTTACTCCACCTCCCTCCTCGTCCTCGTCCTATCCCTCATCGCCGTCGTCCTCGTCCTCACTCCTCCCCCCTTCACTTCCTACTTCCCCTGCTCCTCCTCCTTCTCAACGTTGTCCTCCCTTGTCCTCGTGCTCCTCCCTCGTCCTCCTCTTCGTCTTTCGCCCTGCTTCTCCCTCCTCCTCCTCCTACTTCTCCTCCACCTCGTCCTCCCCTGCCTCGCTCGTCCGCGTCCTAGTCCTCGTCTTCGTCCTCCTGCTCCTCCTCCTCCTCCCTCCTCCTCCTCCCTCCTCCTCCCACCTCGTCACGTCGTCCTCCCTCCTCGTCCTCTCCATCGTCGTCCTCTTCCTTCTCCGCCTCGTCCTCGTTGTCGTTCTCGCCCTCGTCGTCCTCTTCCTCCTCCTCTCTCCTCCCTCCCTCCCTCCCTCCCTCCCTCCTTCCTCCAACTTATCCCTCCTGATCCTCCTGGCCATCCTGCTCCTCATCCTCTTCCTCCTCCTCGGGGCCTCCTCCTCCTCCTCCTCCCGCCCTGTCCTCGTCCTCCTCCTCCTCCTCCTCCTCCCTCCGGCTTTCGCTTGCGCTGGCGGCCTCTGTCCGAGTGTCGGCAGTGCCGCCAGGAGTGCCCTGCCGACTGCCTCCCTCCTCCCTCCTCCGCCTCCGCCTCCGCCTCCTCCTCCTCCTCCCCTCCCTCCCTCCCTCCCTCATTCTACATGTTCTTCTTCATCCTCCTCCTCCTCCTCGTCCTCCTCCTCCTCCTCATTCTTCCTCCTCCCCTCTTCCTCCTCCTTCTGTTTATCCTTCTCCTTCCTCCTTCTCCCCTCCTTCTCCTCCTCCCTCCTCCTCCTCCTCTCCCCCCCCCTCCTCCTCCTCTTCCTCCTCCTCTCCTCCTCCTACCTCCTCCTCCTACCTTCTCCTCCTCCTCCTCCTCCTTCCTCCTACTCCTCCTCCTCCTCCTCCTCCTCCTCCTCCTCCTCCTCATCCTCCTCTTCCTCCTTCCACCTTACCCTACCCCTCCTCCTCCTCCTCCTCCTCTTCCTCCTCCTCCTCCTCCTCCTCCTCCTCCTCATTCCACCTTACCCCTCCCCCTTCTCCCCCTCTTCCTTCTCCCGCTTCTCTTCCTCCTCCTCCTCCTCCACCTCCTTCCTCCTCCTCCGCCGCCACTTCCTTCCCCGTTGGGGGAACACCTGGGCCCAGTGCGTGAGGGAGGTCACACGAGGAAGAGCGCACACGCGATGGCGATGCCCACCAGCAGCGTTGCCCAGCCGTCCCTGCCGCTGTACCCGATGAAGCCGCCTCGGGCGCGGCGCGTGCGAGGCGGGGCGGGCGGGGGCGCCGTAGGCGCCAGCGCAGCGCGGAGGGTAGCCCTGGCATCCGATGGGCTATTTTCTGTCATTGCGGGGCCCCCAGCGGTCTCGACTACTTCTCCAAGGGTAGTGCTTCGTCTCGGATCCATTCCTGGTGGTCCTGGGGCCTTGAAAGTGGCGCAAGGCGGCCGCAATCAAGGAGAAGAGCCAGGATTGAGAACACCAATCCGCCAGAAGTCTGGGTTCCGGTATCCCGTGCCTTAATTTTTTCAATGCGAGGTCCCAGGAAGTCCCGACCCTGCCCCGGGGCCTGTTTCTCGTCCCGACTGGGATGACCGCGGGGGTTGCTAAGGGGATAGGGGGGTTGTAAGCAGATGCTAGCTTGGCTATGTTTGGCCCAACCTGGCTTATAAGTGAGTCAGAAATGTCCCAAGTGCCTTGGGGGGTTAGATAACTCCGCTAAGCGGGCGGAGCCCACTGATCCCGGATCACAAACCCCCTAAGCCACTTGGGACCTTTGTGACCCACTTTATGCCAAGTTGGGCCCGCGCCGTTTGAGCTCAACGCGCCAAAATTGAAGACGCCGACACTGAGGCAAATCCACGGCAAGCCCTGAGCCCCGCGCCCAAGCAGACGAGGCCAGCGCCGCGGCAAACCCCACGGCAAGCCCTTCGTCCGAGGCGCAATTTGCCCTGGTGACCGCGGCGCCCTCCTGCAGACATAAGGCCGCGGGTCGGAACAAACGGCGCGGCGACATATAACCACCTTGGCATCCTCCGATAACTCCCCCAACTCAACTGGCCGGAGGCGTGCACAATCTCCGGTAAGACTTCCAAGCTGTTCCGTTCGCGCGCCCGTGGCGGCCCGTGGGGGTCCGCGGACGAAAGATATCCCGGCAAGGTCCTGGCAAGGTCTCGGCAAGGTGCGAGCAATGTCCCGACAACGCCCCGGCAGGTTCGGCTCAGAGATGCCGGAACTCCTCGGCGCGGCCTCTAGGCCCCCCAAAACACCCCAATGATGCTCAAAAAGGGTGGCACGCCCCGCGGCTTCAAGCCCAGAGCGTTCCAGGAAAGCCCACGTTGGTCCCAAGACCCAAGACGCTCCAGGAGGGTTCCACGAGGACTTCGAGAGGCCCCGAAGACGCAAGGATCACTCATTTTGCGTCGGTTTTCGGACGAGTTTGGCGGTACCGCATTTTGGAGCTGCCGACCGCCCTGGACGGCCCAAGAGGTTCCAAGAACGCTCCAAAACAGGTCAAAAAACACCCAAGAGGGCTCCCACATGGCTCAAGATGACCCTAAGACGTCCCAAGAGGCCTCCAAGACGGCCATAGGATGGCCCCAAGAGGGGGCTTAGAGGGGGAACCCGAACAGACATTTCGAGCTCTCGGCCCCACGAGGTACCCAAGAAGCTCCCCAAACCCCCAAAGAGCCCTCCAAGAGGCCCCAAAAGGCCCCGAAGAGGCCCTTGAAGAGGCTCCCAAGACACAGCTGGCCTCCAGAAGCCTCAAGAGGCCCCCAAGAGGCTGCCCAGAGGCCTCAAAACTGTTCGTCAAAGGCTCAAGCAGCCATGAGGACTCCGACCCACAACCTAGGTACGTCTCGAAACTCTGCTGGAGCTCTCTTGAGCCATCTTTTTTTCCTTGTGCAGCAGCGCTCAGATTCAACGCTGTGGGGGCCAGCCCTGCACCCCCATTCCTTCTTGGGTGTTTGTGATGCTGCCGGCCCGACCTTCGCCGGGCACGTGCCTGGGCTTGGCGGGGCAAAGGGGGGCATGTCAGCTTATGCAGACGGGCCCCGCCCACCACTGCACAAACACACCGGAACATGGGCCCGAGGCTGCGGGACCCAGAATTAACTCAGCGCAGCACGCTGACGGGCGGTCGTGGCCCAGTCCACGAGCGGCCCTGAGAGGCAGCCGGGCCAGTGGAGGCCCGCGTCAGCCGCTAAACTAGGAAGAGCATTAGTACGACGCAGGCTTGCGCACCCAGGGACATCAGGAGAGCTGCCGTTCCGTCTGCATGGCTGGAACTGGATGCGCCGCTCCGACCGCGCATAGCCGTAGTTGAGATTCCCACTACTCCGCGCGGCCGGTCCAGAGGCATGCAGGCAGCCCAGTGGCCCCGGTGGAGAAAAAAAGGCAAGGCGCCCCGCGGCCCGAGGTCGGGCCGCGCAGCGAGCCGGGGGCGGCAGCACGGTGGCCCCGTCGTCGCGCGAGCTTACGTTGCCAGTCGCAGGCCGCCGTGCGCGCGCCTCCCCTCGCGCCCCTCAGCAGCAGCCGCCCTCCGAGCTGCTCTCGTCGTCGTCGTCGTCGTCGCTGCTCTCCGCGTCCTTGATGGCCTGCTTCTCCTTCTCCTTCTCCTTGCTGGCGCCGCCGCCGCCGCCGTGGCCTCCCGCACCGCCGGAGACCACGTTGTACGCGGCGAAAGAGAGGATGTTGATGATGGCCGAGACCACCATGATGGCGCCGTACGGTGCCTGCGGCAGGTGGTCGATGCCGACAAGCAGGGCGAGCGGAACGGTGGCGGCCTTGTTGAAGTTGCCCGCGAACGCGACATGGGTGGCCGAGAGGTACTGCACGATGCTGAACTGCAGGATGTTGTACACCAGCGAGGCCAGGGCGGAGCTGGCGCCGAATACGAATGTGGACTTGCTGTGCTCCCAGACCTGAGCCACGACCCAGGCGTCGTTCGTGTAGCCGACCCCATCCCAATGCTTCACGGGGTGCTGCAGCAGGAACACGAAGGGGAGGAGAATGATCGCGGCGGGAATGGAGTTGTAGACCACGGTGTTGAACCCGTCCAGCTTCACGGAGGTCTTCAGGATCCCGGCGAGCGCAAGATTGACGCTCCCTGAGAACAGGGACACCACGCAATATATGACGCCGATCACGGTCTTCGCAGACTCGCCAGTGCCTGCCTTCTTGTGGGACTCCCCCTCGGCCTCGGCGGCGATCTTGGCCCAGACGCATACACACATCATCGCAGCGCCCAACATCATCAACCCGATCTCAATGGCCTTGCACGGCTTCCCCTCGCCGGTCGTGTACTTCGTGAGGAGCCACTGCGCGGCAAAGGTCGAGAGAGGGAGGCATGAGCGGATGATGAGGTTCAGCGTCAACGGGATCAGCGCCATGGACATGTTGTTCAAGGCGATGTTCATTGTGAAGCTCGCCGCGAAGCACAGCACAGCGATTACCTCATTCTTTGAGGTCAGCGTCTTGATGGTGATCTCTTTGTCCCCCAATTTGTTGAAGCCGAGCGCCTTCGCGGGGAGGAAGAGTATCCAAAATATGATGAACCCACCAAACTGCTGTATCCCGGTTACGAAGAATGAGGCCTGGAAGCCCATCCACGCACAGTGGCCTTCAACGTCTGTGCAATACTCTGCTGGCGCTGGATCGAGGACTGTGGCGGACGAAAAAACGGCCTTCATGTACATGTTCATGCCAGTTTGGGCGCCGAAGAAGATGATCAGGAGGCCTGGCGTCATCAGCTGAGGGCACTTCTTCAGCATGCAGAGGATAGCACCGCCCACAATGCAAATACCAGAAATGCCGAGCTCCTTCAGCAACTTGAGATCATCATGCGCCGCGATGTGCTGGTGGCTTGTGATGTGCGCAGCCTCGAAGGAGATCAGGTGGTTAATGGCAGATGCGGAAACCGCCATGGCCGTCGCTGCTCAGTTGCCGCTATCACTGGGGAGAAGATGGCGAGGTGGCGTAGTCAGCCCCGACGTCCGAGATCACGCCAAGATGGCCTGAACCAAAGCCAGCTTGAGCCAACCAAAATGGCTACGGGAGCTCTCCTGAGCCATCTTGGCGCCCACTGGGGCAGCCTATGGCTCTCTTCGACAGGGTGCGAGCCATACCTCCAAATATCTCATCGAGGACAGTCCTGCCTGCCCTACAGCTACCCATGGGCACGAGCACAACCCCTGCGATGGGATACGGGCCTGCGGAATGAGCGAAGCGATTAAATGACCACCCTGGCACCCGCTGGTACCCCCCCCAACTCCTTAGCACCCCCCGCGGTCATCCCAAGAGTCGTTCTTTGATTGTCCCGGGGCCCGCTAACTGCCCAGGACCTCCCGCACCGCCATTTTCCGACGGCACACGCATGTCTCGCTGTCGGGCCATAGCGGGGGTCTCCGTCGGCCGTTTCGGTCGATCTGGGCACCCCCGGAACGCCCTCGGCGAGGCGCGCCTGCTAGAACGCATCACGATGCAGCGAAGCCTATAGGAACCGACGACACATGCGAAAAGCCGTCCGTCTCTAGACAGGTGCGCTCCACTCCTAGCAGAGTAACTGCTACTCGCAAATGGCCTGGATCTGCCGCGGTGGGATTCACGATTCATTGCATCCAGGCAAACAGTTGTCTTTCGGACGTCGGCGAGTAGGCACTTCGCGAGTAGTGAACGAGCTCGGTGAGGAAAGCGGGGTATAAGCGGACGCCAAGGTGGTCATATCTGCCTAAACCTGGCTTATAAGTGGGCTGTATATTCCTCAAGTGGCTGACGGTGGGCTAGATCACTCCGCTGAGTGGGGTGAGCCCATTTAGCCAGCATCACTAACCTTCCTAAGCCATTTGAGGCATTGCAGCCAACGTATAATATAGGTTGGGCCACATGTATAGAGACATCCTAGATGGGTCGGAGTAGATGGGGTCGGAAGATCCCGACGCATCGCCGATGCATCGTTTATGCACCGGCGACGTCGGCGATGCACCGTTGACGTCGGCAAGGAGGAAAACGGACTCCGCATCGAGCCGCATCGCCGATGCATCGGCGTTTTGGCGCGATCCGCCGACCCCATCTACTCCGACCCCATCTAGGAGGCCTAGAACTTAGAACCTCCTTGCCGTCCACATCTTTTCACGGCGCACGGCCGCCGCGCCGAGGCCGCCCCGTGGGCAGCGCCGCCCGCCGCTCCGAGGCCGCTGGCCGCGCCGCCCCCCCGGGCAATCGGGGACCTGTTGATCCGGGCCAAGCCAGACCTGCAGGATCCTGGGTTTGCAGGATCCTGGGGGCCAAAGACAGGGGGATCGTCGTCGTCGTCGTCGTCGTCGTCGTCGTCGTCGTCGTCGTCGTCGTCGTCGTCGTCGTCGTCGTCGTCTGGCCCAGACCCGGGCCAGTCGGGCTTCGCAGGCTCCTGCAGGCTCCTGCAGGCTCCTGCAGGATCCTGCGCCCAAGCTCGGGTCAGTGCAGCCCTGGCCCTGCAGGATCCTGCACGGGTCAGGTCGGGCACGCCCCCCTACAGACGGATTCTAGCAGAAACATCAGCAACAGTCCAACGTGTGCAGAAAATGCTCAAACATAGCAGAACATCGTTCCCGGACTATTCTCTGACATTCCCCCCTGCAGAGGCCCGGGCCCGACTTGCTGCCAGGGGCCCTCCGGCGCCTCGGCTGCGCCCCGCCCCGCGGGGCCGCGGGGCGCCCCGCGAGGGCCCGCCCTCCGAGGGCGGGCCGGCCCTCGGCCTCGGAGGCCCCCGGCCTCGGCCGCGGCCGCCTCACGCGCGGCAGGGCAGCCGCGCGGCGGCGGCGCCCAGCGCGCGCAGGGCGGCCCCGCCGCCCCAGAGCAGCGCCTTCTCTCGGCGGCGAGCGGGGGGAGGAGATGGAGAGGAGGAGGCCTGCTCAAGAGGTGGCGGGACCTGAGAGGTTTTCTGTATGTCTTCGGGGACAGCTCAGAACACTTCTGAGAAGGCCGGGGGACTTCCGAGCCTTCTGAGAGAGACTCCTGTTTCTCACTTGCCCCCTCCGCTCGCCGCCGATTCTCAGAAGGCGAGGCCAAGACTGGGACAACGTCGGGCCTGGAAACAGTCCCATACGTTTCGCGCATTGGCAAAACATTCAAGGGCACGTTGCGCCGTTTCCGAGGTCATCCGCGGCCTGAGATTTTCGGTAGTGGATTTCGGCCGCGACTGGAGGGGCTCGAGTTTCGGTGGCGGAGAGACGGCGCGTTTGGGTCCGAGCGAAGGTTTCGAAGACGTCGACGGCTCGCTCGTTACCAGAATTCGCGACCAAAGACAGGATCTCGGTCGCGACCAGTTCGTCCAGAGCTTTGGCCAAAATTCTCGATCACATCAGGTAGTCTTTAGTTTGGATTCCCCCCCCAACTGTTTGTCTCGGCGGGGAATGAACTCCGCCCCTCCTCCTCCTCCAGCTCCTCCTCCTCCTCCTCCTCTTTCTCCTCCCCCCTCTTCCTCTTCCTTCTCCTTGGTAGTTACTCCTACTGCTATTTCTCGTCTCATTCCTACGGAGGAGCAGGAGGAGGAAGAGGAGGAGGGAAGGAAGAGGAGGAAAAGGTAGAGGAGGAGGAGGAGGAGGAGGAGGAGGAGGAGGAGGAGGAGGAGGGGCACGGCATGCGACTCAACATGAAATATACCAGGATCATGTTACTACTCTTCGGCAGCGGGGCAATGACAACCAAGGAACACATGGCCAAAGAAGGAACGACATGCATACCCAGTACCTACAGCGACACGACCATCGAGCTCGTCGACTTCCAAACGGCACGTGGTGCAGCTATTACTTCAACAACAGCCATGGGACCGCATAATAAGAAGATCATCTACTCGTCAATGATCAGCAGAGATCCACTACGAAAACATTTTTCCAGAAGAAATAATATCCCGATTGAGAGAAGGTCCTCTACAACGACCCACTTCCCCTCCCTAAGCTGACCTACCACGACCACGTATGGACCAACCTCACGGAGACGGACAACAACACCTTTGCATTGGGTTGCATGAAAGGAAACCGGCAAACAAATGGCCACCACGCTACTGACACCAACGTCACACAAACATAGAATCTTCGGGTGCTTGCAACCGCCGACCGCCTGCCTCCGACAGTGGCAAGACGAGCACGCAGACTGCGTTACCTATCGCGACTGCTGCTAAACGGACCCACATTTGTCGTGAGGCTCATCGACCTGGACCTCTACCGCGAAGCAAGTTGGGCCACCGAAATCAAAGATGATATGCAGTGGGCAAATGTACAACTACCTGGACAATGCGGAGCAGCTAACCGACTCAACCGACATGCATTAAGTACTCCGAGCAGCAAGAACTGACCCACAGGTTCAATACTACAATTCAGACAGCGGTCACAAGGCATCTACGGCGCCAAGCAGACCAAGCTCGCCAAGAACAGTGGTACCACGCCCTTGAACCATACCAGAACACCGAGGACATGCCAGCACTACCGACCATGCCACCACCGCCACCGCAGCAAGGTACATGTGCTATCAGTGCGGAGCGACCTTCGGCCCTTCTGCACGAAGAACGCTTACTACGCACATCTGGGAAAGAGCCACAAAAATCGGCAAACACACCACAAAATGGGCACGAGGAACACCATCTGCAAGACTTGCAACTACCAGTACCATACTTACGCACGACTCGTCAAGCATCTACAGGCGACTCCATCACGTGCCGTACCATGGCTAACAGCAGCCCAGCCAGTCAACGATGAGGAAACTGAAGAAAACCATGAGCACATACGTATGACCCAACGTTGCAACATTAGAGCAGGCGGACCACCTGACTACGCTCAAGCCAGAGTTACAAGACCGACATCACACCGACATACACCAAGGCTGAGACTGCCGCCCACAACAAGATACCACCAATCGAACTTCCAGAATCCGACCCAAACGCGCGCAACCCACGAATACCGCGACATACAGGAGGACCTTTTCGGTTCGTCCTGCAACTCTACAGCGGTCACCGACGAAAGGGGACATGCAAGAGCGGATGGATTCCAACCACCGGTTGCAACGCAGACATGCACTCTCTCCATCGACATCGCCAACGACGACAATGCAGGCGACTTGACGAAATAGGAGACCATCGACTTCTTGATCAACCAAATGAGGGCTGGGAAAGTGGCCACCATCATGGCAAGCCCACCATGCGAGGCTTAGAGCGCAGCAAGGACACGTGACATTCCTGGTGCGACGTACCAGCCGCGACCTCTACGGAGCCGAGATCAACCATGGGGACTGAATTACCTGAAGGAAAAAGCGAGCAACCAGATCGACATCAACGACCAACTCCTGCGCACGGGAATCCCGGCCGTCATGGAACACCTCGAGACAGCACGCGACAGCCGGCAAGTGCCACGCAGATAGTTGCTACCTGAGGTGCAACACCTACAACGCCGACCCTACGTACGTTTAGTGTCCTTCGGCCAGTGCATGCTCAAGCAAATAGCCCGCAAACCAAGAAGCTTTCTAGCTGCGGGAACGCGAGTGCTACCTGCTCACATATTTTCGAAGCCCAATCGATGCAGATGTAACTGCGGGCATGGGGCCCACCCGGCTCACTCACCACTAATCGGGCGAAACGAGAACGGACCATGGCGCAGTGCCGCCGCCAAGATCTACCGCACGGAGCTCAACAAGATACTGGCATCCTCGCTATCCGAGGCCATCCGACAGAGATGGACAACACCGCCAACTGCCAATGGGTGGATCATCGAGGACAGCCATGTGGCCTTGTACGTACCACTCGACCCGCACTTCGAATTCAAGCGAAGCACGGATCGCATGGACCGTCGGCACCTCATGCAACCGCGTCTCCTGCGCCTCCTGCGACGTGGAGGCCATGTGACGTCTCCATTGCGACATCAATATCGAGAACAGCGTCGCCATACCTTCGGCCTTC